CCCCCCCCCCCCCCCCATCATGTCTTTGACAGCATAAATTGGCCTGATCACGGTTTTGTCAGGTGGAATTAAAAAAAACACGTATGTTTAAATCAATTTAATTGTAAAAGGCGTAAAACGTTTGAGCTGTAAACCGCATCTTCATCAGCGCGAATACTGCGAGCGGATGAGAATCCGGGCTAATGACCGGAAACTTTACGAAAAGAATATAGGAAACATGTTGTTTTCTGACAATCCAAATCAATTACAGTAGCTCTTAGCTAGTCTTATACACACGTAAAAACGCACAAGTTGTAACAAACCTGCAGCAGACTTGTAGCATTGCTGTCCCAACAACTTGCCAACAGAATGTGTTCGCACTGCTTGTTCCCAGCTTGTTGACAAGTTCTCAACGGCTTGTTGGCAACTTGCATGCTACAAGGTTGTTGGACTCAACAGACTTGTTACAAGTTATTCCAACAACTTGTTATCGTCCTGCAATTCAACAATTTGTCAACAAGTTGCGATTGACAATCTTGTAGCAACTTGATAAAATAAGTACAGCATTGTTAGAACTTGTTGACAAGCTTGCTACAAGCCTGTTGCAAACACATCTTGTTGACAAGTTGAGAGATTTTTACGTGTATAAGTTACATGCAGTCACAAGAAGGTCTTTCACTTTTCAAACTTCCTTCCATTCTAATTATGCACAATTAGAATTTTTCAAGTTCCTTTTACAGTGTGTTTCCATGGTAAAATTAGTGCAATAACTATAATTGTTATGTTTTGTTGAACACCAGAAAAAATAGTTGCCATTCTTTTTTATTCGGAAATTAATTTCTTTGGGATTTTTCGCCAACAGTTGTTAGAATTGTAGACGGGGTCATGATTTCTGGCTTGTCAATGACAATGAACATTCACCTTGCAATATTTGGAGGAATGGTTTCAGGGGCTATGTTTAAGATTGCAGTTGTGCAGCAGTCTTCTACAAAAAAATCTTTTATTTTTCTATTTATTAATTAATATTCATAATTAAGGATTCTTCGATAAACAGTTATATATTTAGCACTTTGAAGAGTGTCGTAGCGTCTTTCTGGTGTAAACCGTTGTCTTATTTGGGGCTAGCGATTGTAATAGGGTCTTAATTGATGGTAGTAATGCTAATTAGTCTAATTAGTGACGTCAAGGAGGTGGTACCACCGAATCTGACCAATGACAGATCATTCTCATGATAGTTCCTCTTTCACATGATAGTTCCTCTTTCGATACGAGATATCATAAATATTCCTATATTATTCTTCTCTCATTCAGTTGATGCTAAACTGTTAACGATCTTCAAGATCGGAAATCGCCTATCTGGTAACAGAGTGTAGGTAAGTTCTCTAAAAACGTTTAATGTTTCTCCTTGCAACGATTGCCCTAATGCATGAGCCTTATTTTGGTTAGATTTTCACTCGGATGCATACCATTTTAGAATACACACCCTTTAGGTTTAATTTAAAGTATATGCTGCGTAATAGGAGATAGTGCACTGCTCACTACCATAATGTCAAGTGGCTGCTGATAATAAGGGATTTACTTAGGCTGTGTAACCTTTCCACGACTTCATGTCTGGAAAACTTCATATGTACATAGAAGTAAAGTTCTGGTTGGTTCCGTTACGTTCTGTGCTTCCTGGGTTTTTCACTGTGTACTCCCTCTCCAAAAACAACGCTTCCACCATAGTTGTTTTCCATGATCAATATCAGTCATAAGGAGCCCTACCAAACCTTCGACTTGCTCATGTTTGAGCTGCGTGTAATTCAGCTCCCCGCTGCAAATATAAATGTCAATAGAACGGTTCAACAAGTTCCACTAGGCATCTTTATTACTATTTAGTTTCGTACCAAAACATGTAACACAACTGTGGCACTCATAACACAACATGTGGCACTCATCTTTATCTGTTGAAGTACGAAACTAAATAGTAGCCTAGTGGAATTTGTTGAGTCGTATGCTGTGGAATATGCTCTGGGCATTCATTGAGCACTCGCTAACAACGAAACCTAATCTTGGTTTAGATTCGCCTAAGATACCATCAATATGAGTTGCAAAATATTTGTCGTTTTGGCAATGCTATATTGACCATCTCAAAAATAGGTAAGGAGTTATACGTATATTTAATTATATTTCCACTTTAAAAAACGGGCTTTCAGGCATAGATAGTTTCAACAATTATACGTCATCAAATTTTGGGCTCCTTTTAGCCCCCCCCCCCGCCCATCCCAATGTCATCAGTCTGCCTATCTCTTATCTTAATTGCATAACTGTCATTTATACCCACTGATAAAAGGCAAGAAATTGAGGAGGATTCATTTTATATGCACTTACTTTATTAAGATTGAACCATTTAGCTATTTACCATAAATACATATCATCTTTTAATACTTAATAACACAATTCAATACTTCTAGTGATAGTAATGGTATTACTAGGAAGATGATATCCTAGTAATTTATTATTTTTAGTGACAGTCAAATGACAAATCTCTTTCAATTATTGATGACATAATCTTCACCAATAACTCCCCCCATACCTATTAGGTACCACTCCCCCCAAAGATGATGACATAATTGAAGCAATATTTATACAGCAATAAAGCAAAACTTACTAAACTACAGACATCATTTTATCTTTGGCATACCATATAAAATATCTTCATTTTAGCATAATTTTAATTACACCTAATATAATGGATGACCCCAAAATAGCGCGGCTGTGACGACAACGCCAACGATAGATTGTGTCTAGATGGAGCTAAAACTTGCGAGAGGAAGACTAAAGAGACGAACCTGGAGTCATGTGTTGGAATATGCTGTAGCAGCGATAATTGCAACAACTACACTCCCAACAGTGCCCCAGGTGTCATGGCCGTGAAATTTATTCTCTGTTTCATGGTCATTGCGGGATATTTCTTAGCATAACTGTCTGAATTCTTGTTGTATTTGAATAACATTAACTTTAGTTTAGTGCTGCTCAACAGCTAGCGTAGTACAATAATATACGGCATGTAACTAAACATATAGTTGTAGCTCGCACAAGGAATAGTTTTCCTTTCTTAATCGGTTACCTGCATTAAGTTTCACTGTATCTTGTAATACTTTATTTTGGTTCGTTAGGAGCAACTCATTTTAACTTAATTTTGTAAAACTGTTAGTTTCGTTTTTGAACGTTTCATAGTAGTATTATAGTTTCCACAAAAAAATAGCTCCTATTCGTCTTCACTTCAGTTGCATTTTGTAAATCTTTAGTTCAGTTCAAATTTTTACTCTCCCCCCTCCCTGTATCATGCCCTCCGGCAAAATGTGGGATTTCACAAAGCATTACCTATAAAACGAAAGTCCTAAGCTGTTCAACACTGTAGAGGGGGGACGGTATTTGCTATTTGTAGAAAAGCTTCTCTAGGGAGAACAGTTTAGAACTGAGTAGAGAGCTAGGCAGTATAAATAAAATTTGTTTAGTTTGGCATTCCATTTTCCAAGTATATACTAAAAATTAAAGTGTCTATATCGTGGTTTTGGAGTTTGCATATCTCGAAAGTTTAGGGTATTTTAAGACACTTTGCAATATATTTTGTTATTGAAATCTTGATGGATTTATTAGCTCTTAAAATTACCGGACATGACGTCAAAAGTAGAATTGCAAATCAGTTTTCCTTTGTATCATTGCAACAAAATTCTCCTTTTGACGTCATGTCCGGTAACTTTAAGAGCTAATAAACCCGTCAAGATGAAATTTTTCAATAAATTTCACCAATAAATAAACATGATGTTTTCTGACAACGCAGGGCAGAGAGGGTCACGATGTTTGACTTGTCAATGAAGATTACCTTTTCGAAGTACCAACGAATGATCTAAAGTTTTATATTCAAAATTGCATGTAACAAAACGATCCTTTACTTTTAATCAATATAAACAATTAAGGGTTTTTACTTTGGAATTATTTAATAAAAGCAGTTCTATTTTTAATAGTTTGAAGAGTATAATGGTGTTTAATTGGGTATAGCGATTGGCATGTTGTTCTGGACTGGACTGGCAAAACATGGACTCAGCCAGCGATTTGTAAAACATGGACTCACTCAGGCGGCGATTTGTAAATCATGGACTGAGTCTATGTTTTGTAAAATGTGAACTCTGTCCATGTTTTACAAATCATGGACTCAATCCATGTTTTACAAATCGCTGACTGAGTCCATGTTTTGCGAGTCCAGTCCATGTTTTGAAGCATGCCGCCATAGCGATTAGTGATAGAATCCCGATGGTCGCAGTTGGGGGTAATGACGTGTAGCATCTAAGGGGCGGACCATTAGAAATCCCGGGAGGGGGGGGGGTGAAAATTCCCAAAAAAAGATTCGTGCAAAGAAAAATGCCTGGAAAAAATTCGTGCAGTCATTACGTCAGAGAAAAAAAATTCGTGCAAGCAAACAGCAAAGTACAAATAGTCTTGAAAAAAAATTCTTGCAGAGGTTAAATGCATTAAAAAAATCCTGCAGAGACACGAGACTGAAAAAAAAATTTCGTGCAGCAAAAATTTTATTCCCCCCTCCCGGGATTTCTAATGGTCCGCCCCTAATCTGACCATGGCAGATCATGTCATTCTAATGGTAATTCCTGATAGTTTTGATACAAAAAAGCATAACTATTCCTACATTATTTTGCCTTCATTCAGTTGAAGCTACACTATTAAATCATCTAAGATCGGAAATCGCTTGTCTGATAAAGTGTTGGTAAGTTCTGTGAAAATTTTTATATAATGTTTCTCTTTGCAAAGATTAGTCCTAATATGGGCCTTACTTTGGTTAGATTTTTACTCAAATGCATAGCCTTAGGATTTTAAAGGTGTGATTAGCGAGCTGCCCCTTAACGGATCAAACGAGGATGAGAGTGCATGAGAGTTGGTAATCACGCGATCTTGGTTAGGTCTTCTTAATGCTTTCCCAACACTATCATGTATTCTATTTAAGTTAAAACATTTTTGGAAGACTCATCAAACCTTTATTTTGTTAATCTAGAGCTTGAAATGTCCCCCGTAACAATACGTGACTGCCAACTCTCATCAACTCTCATCTTCGTTTGACCGGGGCTTTGCATGCAATTAAGTTGAGCCTGTTATTGAAGGTCCCTGGTCAAAAAACAAGCCTTCCACTTAGCTGTGTTCCGTGATCAAGTGATCGTATGGTGGTAGCTATACCCAGAGGCGCCCTCAGTAAGCCTTCGACTTGGTCGTATTTGACGCAGCGCCCTCCACAATTCAGTTCTTAGCTGCAAGGATGTTTACCCTCCATCATTGCCCCTTTAATCTTTCATGCACTGAATTCTAAAATTTGATAACTAATTTTGTACACAACATTCATGACATTATTCATTGAACTGGCTTTTTGGGCTTAGATTCGCCTAAGATACGGTCACGCAATATGAGTTGCAAAATATTCGTCGTATTGGCAATACTGCTAACTATCTCAAATATAGGTAAGGTGTTGTTTAATTATTTCTTATATCAGGCAAGATAATGCGCTTTTAGTTTACTTGTATTAATCAGACGTGTCAAGTTCGGAAGATAGGAATGCGTGACATCTCACAGCTTGGCTTCTCTAACGGTATTGCTAATAAGCTCTAATAACAATGTATGACAATGTGTAAAATTTGACCAAGGCAAGGCTTTTCCACAATTCTCCATATGTACTCATGGATGAAATTAGGCTAAAATATGCGCTGCAGTACTGCTGTAAAACACGAATTTCATACTGAAGAATTAAGATACGTGGAATTGCTTGACGTTAAGGCAATTTTCGGCATGCATGCGGATCTGCGGAACCAAATTTTAAATGCGTGACTTTCAGGCCAAATGCGTGACACTTGGCAGCTCTGGTATTTCAATAGGCCCTTTGCAGTTAGAGCAACAAAAATGCTGTGCTTTGTCTCCAGTCACTTCTTGTTCTCAACTATTTTTAATTAAGTTTCTTTCCAAAACTTTCACCTCCGCTCATAGTATGATTTTGAATTCTTTTAATTTTTAATTCTATACTATAGGATTATGCGGAAGGTTTTTCGACTAAATTTTTACTGTTTTACTGCGAACAGCCGGTATTAGTCTTGTTGGAACAACTTGTAGCAAGTTTGTCACCGTTGTCAACCTTAATAGCTTGTGAACAATGTCGGACAACAACTTGTCCCAAACAACCTTGTTGCTACTTGTGTGCCGATCTGTAACAACTTAGTTATGCGTTTTTTAAGTGTGTAGGTTCCGCACACTAAATTAAAGTTCAAGTTTTCAACTATAGATCTCATTATATATTATCTTATTATCGTAGGGAGCGCCCTGACATGCAACCGTTGTTATTACCGGTCAGACGAACCGAAACATCGACAAAGATGTGGCAATAGTACAGAGGATTGCCCGACTGGCCACTGTTATTCAGCCTCTTATACCAGAAGTGACGGTATAATGTTTATTGAGCGAGGCTGTGACGACAATCACAACGATAGGTATTGTCCAAATGGTGATGACACATGTGAAAGAAAGATTCTGGATCATTTCCTAAAATCATGTTTTGGAATATGCTGTAGCAGCGATAATTGCAACAATTACACTCCCGATCGCGACAGTGCCACAGGTGTCATGGCCGCGAAATTTATTCTCTGTTTGATGGTCATTGTGGGATATTTCTTAGCCTAAACTTTCTAAGTTGTTGTTGTATTTGAATATCATGTAGTTTAGTTTAGTGTTGCTCAACCGCTAAGCAACCTATGGTAAAACACATTTATAATCATAATTATAATCACTATACTCGAAAATAGATAATAGCTCTACTTTCCATAAGGGTCGACCGACTGGGGCAGAACCCCAAAAATTCATGCAAAGAGTGGAATTTGAAAATTCATGCCAGCATTTAGAGAAAGAAAAAAGTTTAAGCAACTACATAGAATATACAGAAATATACAGATAAAATTCCTCCAGCACAACTTCTACACTGTCAATTCCTCCCTCCCTCCCCTCCCAGGATACTTAATGATCTACATCAAGTCAAAAGTGATACATTTTGGAAGTCAGTTTTAATCTTATACTGTCCAGTATCCACTTAAGATTTTATTTTCAAAGCGTCAGAAATTAGATTCTGTTGTGCAAACCACTTCCTATATATAGGCTGTGCAAAATAAACTTATGCAAATATTTTTTTGTAATTTTGAAGAGTCATTATATCGAAGGCATCCATGCAAAAATTAATTGTTCCACAACATATGTAATCATAATTGTAATCATTAATCCGATTATGTGCACAAGAATAGTGTTAACAAGTTACTATACTAACGATTTTGTGTAGTCTAATTTATATGTAAATTTGAAGGCCACAGGCTCAGGTTTCTCAGCTTCGCTGTTGTGTGCACTCGGCTCGTAAGATAAAGTTTATTTCATTAATCATTCATGTAATAGTCCTCGTGTGATGTCTACATTGTCTTGTAATGCGTCTCGTAACCTGTCTTGTCCCATATCGTGCTGTTGTTAGTTTTTTGGGGAAGAAGCAGAATTCTCTGTCAGTCTGTGAGCTGTGTTTAAAACCAGCTTGAATATTAAACAACAATTAAAATATAAATATTCTGCATGGTACGAATTTAGTAAGCTTGATATACAGAAATTTTTGTTTAAAGAGAAATTGGTGGGGTATTCTGCTTTTAACTCCCGATATTTTAAAGTTTGTTTGTCTTGTATTGTGTAAAGGGTCGCTGTAATTGGCGGAAGCTGTAGCGTATACCCAGCCATGTCAATGTATGTATCTCAACTGGTGGCGCAACACAGAAGCCCCGGGTACGAGACGAAATCACTCATGCAGGCGCTCGCAACATATCATGGGATGCGGACATTCTCGTCGGAACAACCACTGAGCTCGATGTAACTGGACTAATAAGATCTTCAGTCAAATGGTGGTAAATCAAGTCAAAAAAGCGGTACATTTGGGAAGTTGGTTTCAGTCTTTCACTGTTCAGTATCCACTTTTGACTTTATTTTCAAACCGTAAGACATTAAATTCAGTTGCATGTACAAACCACCGGGTAAAGACCTACCTAAAATATCATGTTTTGTGATTGGCTTTCAGCTAGAAACAAATCAAAAAGAAAAATTGTCATTGTTCAGGCTCGTTCTTTAGAAAGACGATTTCTATAGTCAGTTTATTGTCTTTCATTGTTATAATCAACCAACCACGAGCCTGGATAGTATAGGTAGATAATGACCCAAACCACTTCCTAGGCTGTGCAAAATAAATTTATGCAAATATTTTTTTGTAATTTTCAAGAGTCATTCCCGAAGGCACCCATGCAAAAACTAATTGTTCTGACAATTGAACAATTTAATTCCTTGATATATGCATACTTTAAAATTTCCAGTCTGATTCGAGTACAATTTTATCCTGACAAAAAAACGTGTTGTTTTGATGCGAGGTCGATATTATTGAAAAAAAGCAATATCGTATCGGCCTAAACTTTAATGAACAATCAATAAACGGCGTCTTTAAGACAATATCGCCACCCATGCACTGCTAATGAGTTTTGTACTTGACAAAAGTAATCCATCTAATTAGCGTCAGGCATCTATTCTGACCAATAGGAAAGATATATCCAGGTGCAATGTAATATTTATTGTTTTCTATGGCACATTTAATGAAGGCATGAGATGCAATGACGCTTTTACAGACGCATTTTTACTGCTTGCAAACGAGAAGTGATCGAAGCTTGCTCTGTTGAGAACATCAAAAACTTGCGTAATTTAGGTAAGTCATGGTCGTTTAGTCTTTCTTCTTCGTCTCGAAATATACAGTAGTAAAGTATTAACCTAGCTAGTCTGTGCATGCCTATGCGGTGGGTAGTTTCAATAATAAGTTAGGAGCGAAGACCCTCCTAACAATCCGACGAAACGAAACGCTCGAAACGTCGAAGTTTTTGTATATTTCATGTTATATAGTTGCATTTTTATCAATTCGAAGCTTTCTCAATAAGTTTTAATCTTATTAACCTATCTTGTTCGTATAAACCATGTTTCATAGTTACATTTAGGGTTTTTAATTCACAAAATGTACGATAAAAACTGTAGGTCAAACTCTGAGAAGCATCGCAAGAATTTCATTTCCAGTGACTCTTGACTCGAGTCGAGCAGAAACCTTTCGCTTACTATTGATCGTTGGCGTTGCCTGCACGGGAACGACACATTTGAAATATTCGAAATGAATCATCCGTCGTAGAGTGTAAATAAACAGAGATCCTGGTCTTCAGACGCTGCGAATAGATCTATGTCGTGGCAAATATAGTTCTGATGACAAATGATTAGACGAATAGGCGGTTGATGAGCCCGATTTATGATAGTTCTCTCTGTATTCGTACTATATGTTAAGATTAAGAATTATTCTGCAATATTCTACGCCCTTTCTCAAGCGGATGAATCAAAGAAAATTAACGAAAACGAAAACTTATTTCGGGCATGTCCACGCCTAGCTGATCTGTTTATGTATCTGACAATAAATAATATTCTATACAATAACTCTACCGTGGTTTGTGTCTGAACTACCTGAATAAGTGTCTCAAACGTTGTGGTCCAGTATAGGTAGTATTCTACAATAAGCTGCCGTGGTTTTGTCTGAACTACCGGCTGACAAAGATATCTCAAACGTGGTGGTCCAGTACCTTGTAGGTAGTATTCTACAATCTAAACTACCTAAGCTGTCTTGGTTTGTGTCTGAGCTACCTGAAAAGATTAAAAATACTTTAATTACGAGCGAAGACCCTTACTTGGGCTACTAACATCTTGACAAAAGACCAGTTCGAAACGTTCAAACATTTTTATGTTTTCCCGACAGTTTACACGAACCAAGGCAGCTTATTTTTTTGTTTGGCTATTGGGACGGTAATATCCATGGTTTCCATCGCCATGGACGCTCAATCTCTCATTAGATCTTTTATGTTCCAAATTAATTAGTCGTTAATGTGGGCGCTGTCTGTAGTTTGTGTATAATAACATTTCAAATTTTGTTTTAGATTTGTCCGAGCAACATCCTGTCACTATGATTTCATCAAGTCATTTTAACAAAATTTTTCTTACTCTTGCAATTGCGCTGACTTTCTCAGCTATAGGTAAGCAATTTTGAATCTTTAATGAATTATTCCGGCTATATACTAAATTTTGATCTAGGGAGGAAGAAGAACAAAATCCATCACCACAGCTAGAAAGGATAGCTCTGTCAGTTTTTAAACTGTTCTCCCTAGATAGAGGTCCAGTGCAGAGGATAATCTCTTATTGATCCGGTATTACCACAGGAGGAAACCTAAACTAAACTAACTTGATTTATACTACAGGATAGCTCGGTCAGTTATAAACTGTTCTCCCTAGAGGCCCAGTGAGGATAATCTCTTATTGATCCAGTGTTATCACAGGAAGAAACATATAAACTAAACTAACTTAAAAATTTTATTTATACTCAGGGACACCGGAACGATGTGAAGGCAAGGGGGGGGAGATTTTCGTGACAGGGCACTTTTGAATTGATATATACTAAGAGATGTTTGCAAAACATGAGGAGTTGAACTTCGCCTAACCATGTTTTCTATTTATTGGATGATAGGGATGTGAGGGGTTTCTCCGCCACTAGGCGATTGTGCTATTCTTGAAGCTCGATGACTGCATTTCTTGCGTTTTCTGAAGCAAATTCGTAAAAGAATCTCACTAACATTTCTGACAATTCGCTATTTCGCCAAGGCAATCCTTTAAAGTGAAAGGGCACCTTTCCCCCCCCCCCCTTTGCGCCTCCTGGTAAAGACCGATGGGGGTGGCTGCCCCTTCCTGTTTATACTGGATAGCCTTATCAGTTCTAAACCGTTCTGGCTATAGAGGTCCAGTTAAGCCCACCCCTAACTACTCTATAGTGTCACTACAGTACATGAGAAAAACGGCGCATCCGGAGAAAACCAGTGGTGGTTGATAGAGTCAAACTCAAAGCACTCTTCTCACATGCATGGAACTAAAGTGAAATTATAATCAGACAACTGTTTATTTCAGGAATCGAACTCCTGCGGCAGCAAGCCGTAACCACACAAACACTAACTACCGTGCCATCATAAACGTACGAGTAATTTCATTTTTCATTATATATCTTTTAGGGAGCGCATTGATGTGCAACGTATGTTCTTACACATCAGCACAACCTAAGGCACAGCAAATGTGCGGGAATAATACAGTCAACTGCGCGACAGGCTACTGTTTTTCGTCAACTTACACCACGGATACCGACCTAGTGGTGACTGTTCGTAGCTGTGACGACCCTAACGACAGATCTTGCCCAGATGCTGATGATACATGCGAGAAACGAACCAGCAAGTTTAACCTGAAATCATGTGCTGGAATGTGCTGTACCACCGATAACTGCAACAATTATACCCCCAGTAGTGCCACTGGTATCATGGTCGCAAAATTCAGCCTGTGTGTGATGGTCATAGTCGGTTTCTTTCTAGCTTAACTGAGTTGATTGGACGGCTGTTGCTATACTTATAACTTTAATAGTTGTGCACTTGTTACATACCGTTATAATATACTTTGTGTTTTATTTGCACAGTGGTAAGGTTAGTAAAATTCTAATAAGGATTACTCGGTTATTAGTTTGGAAAAATAGAAAAAGATGAAAAAAGAGGCACAAACCCAATAATCTAACTTAATATACTGAAATGGTTCACTGTTGCTAACTTGGAATGTGTGTTACACTGTTACACTGTTACACCGGTAATTTCATGGTAACGACTTATACAGTTGTGGCACAGTTATAAAGTGATAAGCACTGTGATAAGTTCTAATAAGAATTACTCTGTTAGTAGTTGAAACATAGAGAAAGAGGCACAAAACCTAATACGTACCTTAGTCGAACTTAATGCTTCATTTGTTAACTTTTGCAATTCATGTCATTGTTGTTATATTTAATTAACTGATTTATTTACTGCTGTTACATATAGACCAACTGATTTATTTACTGCTGTAATTTCATATTTTTTGCACAAGAATAAATTTCATCATCAAAGATGTTTTTATCGTGTGTTTTTCTTTACAACAACAGATAAAAGATACATACAGAGAATAATTAGAACTATTAAATTAAACTGCCTTTACATAATAACTTGGTAGCATAGCAAAAGTGCCATCGATATCCAATAGGCCCTTTGCAGCTGGCCTAAAAACACTTTGCATGGCACAAACGTAACTTTTTCAAGATTTTCAAACAAAAAAATTAAAAAGTTAGATTTTCAAAAAAGTTTAAAAAGTTAAAAAAAGGTAGGGTTGGGGTTAGTGTTAGGGGTCAGATGCCGCGAATTTATCATCATGATAAATTCAAAATGTGCCGCGAATTTACCATGATAAATTCGGACGTGTTTAAGAATTTAATTTACTCGTATAGTAAATTCAAAGGTGGAGCTCATGCTGCTTTCGAAAGAATATATTTGCACAATGCGAAACGGAGTTAAATCTACCAGGGGTGTTCGCGGGAGAATGAAAAATTGTGAAAATTTTGACCCTCGGAAAGTCCGGAAATGGAACTAAACTTTGACATTCTTAGCTTGCCTTCCCTTGTAATTTCCACGTTTGCCATGCAGTCAATGCTGTTATAATTTACCTGAAAAGCAGCTTAAGTTGCCTAGAAATTTACCTGCAATTACTCAATTAGAACAAATATTGGGGGTGTTACACCCCCCCCCCCCTTACACCACCGTTCTCTACGTTCCTGCTGGGAGGAAAGAAAAATGGCGTGTTTTGTCTTACTCCCTTGTATCCAAAATCCCACAGCTCTTCAAGCTCTTTAGTCCGACTTGTGGTTTTCAACTATTTTTAGCCAATGCAAAGCAACCTTGTAACCGGCCTGGGCTTCTGCGTTTATGGCTCTCAAAGCGCAGAAGCCCTGGGTAGGAAGTTGACTGCAAAGAGCCTATTATGATCCAGTGATCGGAATGTTCTGTTTTGCTAAAAATCCAACTGTTCTCCATGCCATTTAGTCATTCATTGTTTTATTTGTCAGGGTCTCTTTACTGCATTTCGTTGTTAACTACGTCGACACGAGATCGGATGAATTCTCCGGTTCAACTTCCGGTTGTTTTCTATAGTACCTGTGGTATTGTCTGCAGGATTTCATGGGCTGCGCTAGCCAAATTTTAATGGGGTGTGGGGGTTTGCCGAGTCATTTCCCTTGCCAGAACTATTTCCTCAAATTTTAGCAATAATTATCTTTTTTTAATCACTTTCATTCAAGTATTTTAGTTTTTTCATTCCTATTCAACTTATGTTTTGCCAATTGGGAAAACCATTTGCCGACCACCTGACGACTGGGAGTGTGCCACCCATTCACGCACACCCAGTGCTGCCTAAATTACTTTGAATTTGTACTCGAGTAAAAGTAGAAGTAATTAACAATAAAACGACTTGAGTAAGAGTAAAAAGTACTGGAAGCAAAACCTACTTAAGTAAAAAGTACAAAGTATCCTTAAAAAATACTTGAAGTACAAAGTAAAAGTATTATTGTCAATAGCGTGTAGAGCGGGGGGGGGGGGACTTCTCCAATGGATTGACATACAAAAGACACAAAACAGCACACGCATTATATTCGTCCACCATAATATACAATATTTCACGGCTGGTCTACTTTCCATACCAGAACCCGTTGAAGAGAGAAGAAATCCATTAAGTAAATATTGCTTATAAGTATAAGTCACAAACGAGAGATCCCAGACCCATGTAGAGGTCGTATTACCTATCCTGAAATTAAAATAAATCATAAAAATTAAACAAAAGTTAGAAAGTAACGAAATACTTAATATAAAGTAATGAAAATAACGAAGTAAAACGTTACTTCTTAAAACGACTTCGTTCCAAGTAAAAGTACTCCAGAAAAAGTTTACTTTGTTACATGCTCACTTCTCAATTTACTTCGTCACTTGACACCACTGCACAGACCGCTCTAGCGCTGCCCCTGCAGGCTTTGTGATTGTTGGTCATGACAATGAATGACAATAAATGATAATGAACCATAAAAAATATATTTCCCGATTATCAAACTAATATAATATACAACCTCGTAACGGTCGTAAAGATTGAGTCACGATCTTTCTCATTTGCCGAACTGATACAACATTTTAAAACTGAAAATACGCGGAGTGATTATAACTAGAGAATATTATGAGTTATATGTAGTTTACAGGTATATACTGTAAACTATTACAAATTGACCGTTGAGAAAGATCTGTGACTCTATTTTTAAGACCATAACGTCCATATGGAAACCAGGCTTAACGCTTCTGTCCGCGAAACAAATTATATAGCCCGAAAAGCGTTGTTAACGCAAGCCTGCATGTTCCGTTTGCGGTAGCGTGTGGAGGTAAAGAGCCTGGCACACATATAGTGGAAAACCAGCTTTAATGCTATAGGCTACGTCGATCCACACTAATTATAAAGCCAGTTTTCCACTTCGACCGTATCGTAACATAAGAAATACGCTACGCTTCACTACGATTAAAGTGGAAAACTGGCTTTATCATTTTCGTAGCATTTTCGTCTTCGGTTCTCCGTTCACAAGGGAATAGAGAACAATCGTCTAATTATCTGAAACAATACGAAAACACTACGAAAACGGATTAGTGTGGACGTAGCCTTATTCTCGACTAACCCAGCATTATTATATGCATAATGTTAAACAAGTTAAAACAATGAGCGACTCGGGAAAGCATGGAGAACAGTGCCAGTGGGATTTTCAAAACAATGAAAAGACAATTGAACATTAAATTTATGTATTGTTTTCATGTTTTCGAGTTGGTCTGTAAAGTACATGCTGTACGTATTTGCATATGTAGATTTGTACTGTGTGAAAACCGCGATGCTTGCTTGAAAACGTGCAAACAAGCGTGTAAAATTATGGCTTAAAGGAATTAAAGCTCTTTTCTGGGACAGAAATACGCTCGGTTTTATAGAATCATTTACTCGAGGGGGGCATGTCGTTAGTTTGGTATGATTTTTACTGCTGGATCCAGTCAGACAACTAGTGTTGTTTGTGTTGAGTGTCTGACCAGAACAGCGACTGCATGTTAGCGAGGTTTGGTATGGTTGATGAATAATGGTGCTGAAGATATGTCATTCTACAACGACAACAAGAACTTGTACATGTTTCAGTAAGTATATATATATGTTATTTACCGGATTGGAGGTCCGTATAGAGAAATATTTCTCGAGGTCTTAAAAACGGCCCGAGGCCGAAGGCCGAGGGACGTTTTTAAGACCGAGAGAAATATTTCTCTATACGGACCGACCATACCGGTAAATAATATTTTTATTTTTTTTAATTCTTCCTCTGGATTTCTCCAATCACTCCTCCCGCACGCGAATGAAGCTGCCAAATAAAACGTCGTTTCTATCAATGCTATCGGGAAGAGTAATATCTTTTGTGAGATAGTTAAGTTCGCTTTCACTGTGTTCTTCATCGTCTGCAGACATTTTAGCAAAATCCCAGTCCAAGTTGGATTTTTATTAGAAATCCCACTCCGAGTTATTGAAATCCCAGTCAATAAAAAACCCTTCATTTATCGGTAGAATAAACAGTTTTAAGACCTTTTAAGCTACCACATGTGTGCAAGTGGTGGACACTTATGAAATATTGGGGGAGGGGGGCTCGTGCCGAAGGCACAGAAAATTTTAAAATTTGAATCCCGGAAATGGCATTTGCAGCATTCTAAGACACGCATAACCAGAAATCCCAGAATTCCGGGCACCAGAGTATGCCTGTTCGCAGGTAGTGCTGTGAATAATATAGTTAACAACAAAAATCATGACCAAAGGCACCAAAAACGGATCAAAATTGGGAATCGACTCGCATTACTTCAATCCCATTCCCATTTTTGAGAACTTCATTTCCCATTCCCAGTGGCCAAATCCCAGTCCCAGCAACCCAAATCCCATTTTCCCAGTCTAAAAATAGATCAATCCCAGTTCCCATTTTACCCCTTCAGGACTCTCTTTCAATACACAACGTTAACAATAATGGTTTTTAGCGCCAGGCGATTCTTGAATAGACATGCACTATATGTCGTGCACCATTTAATGTTGTTAATTCTTTAGGTAACTAGTATTAGTCTTGTAACGGGAGCAATTAAAATGAATTGCGAGATATAGATTACTTCTCAAACAGCGCCCCCTGGTGAAGACAATAAACTGGAACGTCGAAACGTTGGGTTGCCGACTGCGGGGCAACGTTTCTAATTTCCATAATTTGGGGTAGTTTCGGAATTAGCCCTATTCACATTAGAGACGGACAAGTCGTCTAGACGAACAAATCGACTCTCAAAAATCGTCTTCACAGACGGACAAGTAGTCGAACAAATTCAGACGACTTGTTCGTCCAATATTTTGTCCGACACGTTTTCACATCTGATGATTTGTCCGACTAAAAGACGATTTTGAGACGATTTGTT